ATAGAATTAAGAAAGCCAAGGCAGCTGAACTTGGTGAAGGATGTGGAAAATAACAAGAGGGGGTTCTTCGTAGGCAGGAAGAGACAGGCCAAGGAGAATGTTGCCCCTTTGATGAAAGGTAATGGGGAGCTGGCTTCTTCAGACATAGAAAAAGCTGAGGTACTCAATGAGTGCTTTGCCTCAGTCTTCACAAGTGGTCAGGCTTCCTGTGTCTGCCAGGACCCTGAGCCTCTAGGTGAGGGTGTGGGGAGTGGTTTCTGTCCCACTGTAACAGTGGAACAAGTCTGAGTCCTCCTCATGACACTGAACATGTATAAGTCCATGAGGCCGGATGATATCCATCCTAGGGTTCTGAGAGAGACGGCTGGTGTGGTTGCAGAGCCGCTCTCCATCGTATTTGGAAAATCATGGCTGTCCGGTGAAGTTCCAATGACTGGAAAAAGGGAAACATTGCTCCCAGTTTTGAGAAGGATAGAAGATCTGGGGAACTACAGGCTGGTGAGCTTCACCTCTGTGCCTGGAAAGATCATGGAGCACATCCTCCTAGAAGCTGTGTTAAGGCACAGACGAGATAAAGAGATGATCTGAGACAGCCAGCATGGCTTCACCAAGGGCAGATCTTGCCTGACCAATCTGGTGGCCTTCTATGATGGAGTGACGGCTTCAGTGGACAAGGGAGGGGCAGTGGATTTCATCTTCCTGGACATCTGCAAAGCCTTTGACAAGGTCCCTCAGCACATCCTTCTCTCTAAATTGGAGAGGTGTGGATTTGAAGGATGGACTGTTGGATGGATTAAGAACTGGTTGGCTCAACGCAGCCAAAGGGCTGTGATCAATGGTTCTGTGTCAGGGTGGAGGCTGGTCACAAGCGGTGTCCCTCAGGGGTCGGTCTTGGGACCGGTGCTCTTCAGCATCTTCATCAATGACACAGATGGTGGCATCGAGTGCACCCTCAGCAAGTTTGCAGATGACACCAAGCTGAGCGGTGCAGTCGATACGTTGGAGGGAAGGGAAGCCATCCAGAAGCCTACTTCTCCAACCTGGACAGGATGGAGAAGTGGGCTTCTGAAAACCTAATGAGGTTCAACAAGGCCAAGTGCAAGGTTCTGCACTTGGGTTAGGGCAATACCAGGTATTTATATAGACTGGGAGAATAACTCCTTGAGAGCAGCCCTGTGGAGAAGGACTTGGGGTTGGACGAGAAGCTGGACATGAGCCAGCAGTGTGCGCTTGCAGCCCGGAAGGCCAACTGTGTGCTGGGCTGCATGAAAAAAGGGGTGGCCAGCAGGGAGAGGGAGGTGATTGTCCCCCTCTTCTCAGCTCTTGTGAGGCCCCATCTGCAGCGCTGCGTCCAGGCCTGGGGTACAGATAATTCCTCAGGCTGAGTCTGGTATATGCAAAAAAACTGAATTGAATATATCATAAAGCATTACACATCTACAGTAGAAAAGAAATACAGTAAGAGTTGGTTCTGATTGTAACTTTAGAAATCTACAAAATAATTGATTAGGTGAGTTTGCCTGTTCCCAGACAATAAAATGTGAAACAAAATAAATGTGACTCTCACTACTTTCATTCCTTTCAATGCACAGAAGACTTCTGCTCACTGTCCCCAGCACAAGAAGGATTCAACTTTTTAAAAGGATATATAACAGCAGAACAAGGGGAAATAGTTTTAAGTTGAGAGAGGGAAGATTCAGGTTGAATGTCAGGGGAAGTTCTTTCCAGAGAGAGTGGTGAGGTGCTGGAACAGCTGCCCAGAGAGGCTGTGGATGCCCGTCCATCCCTGGAGGTGTTCAAGGCCAGGTTGGATGGGGCCCTGGGCAGCCTGGTCTAGTATTAAATAGGGAGGTTGGTGGCCCTGCATGTGGCAGGGAGGGGTTGGAATTTCATGATCCTTGAAGTCCCTTCCAGCCTGGGTCACCCTGTGATTCTGTGAAGAAGGACGTGGAGTTCTTGGAATGGGTCCAGAGGAGGCCCGTTAAGATGATCAGAGGGCTGGAGCACCTATCCTATGAGGAAAGGTTGAGGGAACTGGGAATTGGGCTTGTTTAGCTTGGAAAAGAGAAAGCTCTGGGGAGATCTCATTGTGGCCTTCCAATACTTGAAGGGAACATAAACAGAATGGGGAACAGCTGTTTACATGGGTGGATAGTGATAGGACAAGGGGGAATAGTTTTAAACTGAGACAGGGGATTTAAGTTAGATATTAGGAGGACATTTTTCACTCAGAGGGTGGTGAGGCACTGGAACAGGTAGCCCAAGGAGGTTGTGGATGCACCATCACTGGCCAGGCTGGATGTGGCTCTGGGCAGCCTGGTCTGCTGGCTGGTGATCCTGCCCATGACTAGATGATCATTGTGGTTCTTTTCAACCCATGACATTCTGCAATTCTGTGAGCTACCTTTCTGCCCTTTTTGAGTGTATCAGCAAAAGAACTGTGACCTGTAGGAACTGCCTGATGCGTGTGTTTGCTGCTCCTATACAGTGGTACATTAAGTAGTAAGCTCATGCGACAGAGATGGTGTTCTTGCACCCCAGAGCTTGGGAAACCCTGAGCATCAGTGGATTCATTCCTTTAGAAAATGACTTAAATGATGGGTCGACCGCCTACTCCCTGTTTTACTTGTCAACACAATCAAGTTCAGATGAGATGAGTGAGGTATACTATTTGCAACGTGAGATTTTTTCCCGTTGTTTTTACAAAACCTTTAATGAATTGTAATGGCTTTTAGAGATATCATAAAACCTACTTACATTCAGGACTTTTCAGAAGCAGAATATGGGTAAGGTGAGGTGAAGGGAGGAAAAGTTTGCAGACATTGACATTTGCACTTCCACAGTGCATCTCTAGACAGAGACAGCACTACTACATGCCGCCAAGAGATAAACAGCTTGAACCACAAGGTACTTACAGATTAATTTGTTGTTTAGAGTATTGATGAGGATTTTAACTGTACTTATCTTTTAGATGATATTTGTTGTGCATCCTGCTGATGAGTTACAGTAGGTAATTTTCATGCTCCAGGGGTTGTGCTCATCACAGTGAGGGGCAGAATGTAGTGCCTTTCTCATTTTTTCCACCCACAGATCCCACTGTACAGTTGACCAGATATATTTAGAGGCCTGATCTACTCTATATTCAAAATTCAAAAGCTGCTTTGTGAGGTTCAGCTTGAACCTCTCATTTATCCTCTATAGTTCAAATTTCCCTCTGAGCAATATTCCTTTATATCCTAAGAGTATTGTGAGAATAGTGAAATCTCAGATCTTGAGTAATAGCCTATGTATTTGATTAGGAATCAGAAAAGAAAAAAATGTGTTAATAATTTAGGAAAACCAATCAGTGTTCATGCATAATTAGAAACAGAAGTAAGGATGAAGATGGCTGTGGCAGAAATTATGATTCTCAGCCATTTCTTCCTGCATGCCTCTTTGAGGCTACAAGCCAAATTTTCAGCAGTGTGCTTTAAAATTAATGCTTACCAGTATTACTAATGTTGTGAATTGTGACCAAACCACTAGGCTAGAGCATCTGTCTTGCTCTCTCACAATCTGACAATGTCAAAAAACATGCAAGATTTCGGAAAAAATTAGAAGGCTTTGAACAGGATAGAATTTTAAATTTCTGTGAAACCAGTGCTTCATTTGCATTTTCAACTACAAATGCAGTAAATAAATAAATGAATATCATATTCATGCATATCATCTTGACATTTAATGTATGGTTTTCATTCCATTAATTTGACCATGATTTACAAGTAGTTTTAGGTTCCCTATAACTGATTTTTGTTTCCATAATCAAGCCACAGATATATCATAGGCTTCAGCCCTGCTTTGTATGGTAATTAGTTGTGTTTCTCTTTGATGTCTACCTGTTGCTGCTGCAGCAAGCTGGTGTTTTCAGAAAGTATCACAAGAACTTAATTGTCAGTCTCCAATGAGGAGTAAGGAGAAGACGCTGGAGTTTCATTCTTTTCCTGAGAGTTTGGATTAATCTGCATTAACTAACTGATTATTGCAAGAAAGAGCTGAATTTATTTCTACCCAAGAAAAAATAATGAAAGCAAAGATAGGTTTTGTTAAGAAACAAGATTAAAGGAAGAAAATGAAAGTGAGAGCTTTACAGAAATGAACTGTTGTGATCCTAAATGTTCTTAAGTGTTCATTCACAAGCCAGGCCAGGCAATCCAGTCTGCAATTCTGCTAATTCCCACGGACCCATGGCAACAAGAACTCCATAGTTCTGTAGTCCAATCTGTAGAAAAAGCGTTCATCTGATTCAACTTAAAACATTTTGATTGCAGCAAATTTAGCAGAGCTTCAGATTGAGCTAGGAGCTAGAGGGTTTCACCCCCAAATTTTAGTTTCAAGTATGAATAATTCCAGTGTACTCAGTCCAAGGGATATTTACATTACATACTAATTATTTGTAGAACTGGTATTAATAAACGTGGCTTTTCCTCCTAATTTTATTTCCACCTTAACTAATAGAGTGGGAAAGCTCTAAGCTTACTCTAAGTTTATTCTTAAAATAATTGAAACTCAAAACAGCGTAAACAATGAAAGCCAAAGCCAAGGGCCTGTAGCTTTAGTTTTGTCTAAAACTGTGTTTTGGGTGAGTCCCTCAGGACTTTCTTTCATTAGCGATTAAGAGATCTTAAGAAAAAAAAGGGCAAGGATAAATCAGTCGTATGCCTACAGAGGAAAGAAGACACTACAATACTCACTACAGAAGAGAGAATGAGAACTATGATGTAGATGTATTATAATTGAGAGCAACATTTTGTTAACTTAATCCCAGAAAACCAGGGATTCAAATGAAAATACTGCTGCTTACTCTATTTCTGGTAGCGTTTCTTCTTAAGCCAGCAAATAAACAAAGAGACTGCTAACAGTGTTAGGAGAGAAACATTAACATCCTGCGGTCCTTGATTTATGTTTTCTTTTGTTTTTAGCAGGGGATGCTATAAATGATCATTCTTTTGCTGCTTTCTGCTGTAAATCAGGGTTGCCCAGCGTAAGATCAGTAAGCATGCAGATGTTGTATAGAATTATACGATCAATAAGCATACAGAGAAATTAGGCTGATAAGATTATCATGCTGGAAAAGATAATCACAAACAAATGAGAAGTGCTCACCGGTGTTAGAAGCTCTTGGGAAAGTCCACAAGGAGCAATCTCCACAGAGGGATCCTTCCCCAGTCGTAGTCAGCTCTTAAATGGGTCCAGGAGAGGTGCAGCCAGGCTCCACCCCTTCTGGTCACACAACTGAATTGCCTTCACCTGTGCTCCTGTGGCTGACTCAGTGCTCATCTCAGGTGATCAATCAGAGGTTCAGGCTGTGATCCAACAGTTCCTGTATACCCAGCAAAGAAAATTCAACCCACTATCATTCAGAAGGCACCCACTGGGTTGTTTTTTTTTTTTTTTTTAAAAGAAACAGTGTTGATTTTATATCCATTTGTTTTTTGATTAGATTTTATTTACAGAACTTTTGTAGTAAATACCCTATGAGTATACTCACTAGTGCAGGAAAGTGCATCTGTCATGATTGGTGTGTTTTTGCTTTTGATTCCCAAATTTTTAGGAGTAAATTACAATCTATTTAAAACAAGATTTCCTGGTTTTAAAATCAGTGGATACCAGTACTAAAATAAAGCTTAAGAAACCCAAAATGTAGCAGATAGAAACTAAGGATATTTTATAAAGTTAAAGCCCTTACTTCCAAAATTTTGCATGAGCAGCATGTCCTTTGTTATGTAATAAAATAGCTTGTTTTCTGTAATACCGTTAGGAAGGTTGTATGGTAATATCATTCCATCACAGCTGAGTGGAATAAATTAATTTTAATTTAAACAAAATCAATTAAGTAGCAGTTGCTATCTTGAAAACAACAATTATTTGGAAGTATCAGTAACAGCTTTACTAAAGCTTGCTATGATTCTTTTTAATATTTAAATACGATTTATATTTCACATCTTTTGTATTCTGTATTAAATCATTACTTGTTTCATAGAACCGAGATTCTGCTGGATTCAGCTGCCTTTGACACATGGCTGTGCATGTGGTTTCAGCATTGCATTTTCTCTGACAAAAAACAGCTACATAAAATTTTACTTCATTCTAAGTATTTCTCAAAAATCCAGATAGAACTCAGATAAATGGCACGATAAATAAAATAACATCTTTGTAGTCATTTAAAGGTAACGTGCATTCCTGTGCGTATCATTAAAAGGGACTTTTCCTTAGAAGAATCCCTGAAAAGGTTGAATTAAAACATTGCAAGACAGCATAACTTAAATAAACGGAATACAGCCACTTTTCCAGACAACCTCTGAAAGGGAATTTTGTAGTCAGTGTCTGTTTTGGCCTTTCACTGAATTAATGCTATCTTTTTCCAATTGTGGCTTCAGGTAAGACAATTTCAGTGGTACGAGGGAATTTGCAATCAGCAAAAGTTAAAAACTCATATTTTCACAAGGTAGCTAATGAAATTTCAATCAAATGACTAATTTACTGTGCAAGGAGAGGTAGTGCTTTTCCTTTGATGTTTCATTATGATGAGAGATCACAGAAGACTTGTTTTTGTTGTCTGCTTTGTTAAGTTATGAATAAGCAGCTAGGCTAATACACAGATATTTGGCTGTGCATCTGCTATTACTCGTAGTAATACCAAATTACGATATACCCTCTTTAAACAGACATTATGAAAATGTCGTGTTACTTCTGTAGGTACATCACTTCTAACTGTGGAAGCTTATGAACGCAAATTTACTGGAGAAAGCATAAAATATAGCATCCTTGGTGAAGAGGAAAGCATATTCTCCATACACCCCATTACAGGTAAACTTGTATTTTCCTTATTGTTTCTGTCAAGTGTCTGTAGCTTAAAGACTGTGGCCTTGTCTGAGGCCTGTTTAGAGGGCATAGCACCTCCAGTCATCTCTTAGCTCTTTCCAAATGTCAGCAGAAGGAGACTTGGCCTTTTGAACAGTTGTAGTCTCTCTGGGCTGGCATAGACAGGGTAAGTATTTTTCCTGAGAAATAATGGGAATAGTTTGTACTCATAACAGATGTCTGAGTTCCCAGTGGTTTTCACCTCTGATTATTCTGATGGCTTCAGGCATCAAGCAGTGAACTCTCTTTAGAACTATCACGTTTACTGCTGATGGACAGTTTAAAATGATTTTGGTTTGTTCAGATGAGGTGCTGTTAAAGTGCCTGTGCTTGATTTTTCAGGAAAAACCTGGAAAAAAACAGGAAAGAACCAAGGAAATAATAGTGTAATGTGGAGATATACATTTGTGCCTGTTGTCTCAATCAGAGATTATTTTTGTTGGGAGAGCTCACCACATCAAAGGAAACTGCATTGTTTTGCCTATGTGTCAGTTAGGTACAGATAAAGCTATTGCTTTATTTGAATGTAGGTGAAGGGCTAGATGAAGGTATACTGAGATGACAGCCAGGAGTATCTTGGGACACAGCTGGTTTGCTGTCACTTTAGAGGAGCACACGTGCAGACACTTTCTTCTCTAACCTTCTACAAGTTGGTCTTTGTTTTAGGAAATTGCATGTAGTTAATCAGTTAAAACATAGCTGTCAGAGTACAGTAAATTGTGCATGGAGGATTATGTCATGTAGAGGGAAATGCAATGAGAAGCTTCTTTAAATTCTGTGCTGTATTCAGGGATTTCTCTGATTTATTTATTTTATGAAACAGGTACAATCACAGTAAAGGAGCCGAAGTTTCTTGATTATGAACTTAAGCATAAAATACATCTATCAATCTTGGCTGAAAATAATTTGAATTCCGCGCTATGCAGAGTTACAGTATTGATACAAGATGTTAATGACAATGTACCTAAATTTGAACAAAGCTCTTACAAAGCATCAATATGGGAAGGCCAGACTCCTAAAACAGATGTCATACAGGTAAGAGGAAACATATCTTCATAGGCTCAGTTCTGCTGTTAAGAAGAAATTGGATTGATTGAATAACAAATGCAGCCCTGCTCAATTTTGTTTTGGATGATCTCTCAAAAACTGAAGGTGGGTTCTTCCTACTACTTTGCATATGTAAAATGTATTTTATGATTTTATGTAGACCATACTTCAGAACTCTTTTCAGTTTTATCAAGTTGGGGGAGAATTCTTTATCTTCTTAAGAGTTGTGCAGCTGGACTTTAAATTCAGATTGCTTTAATATTCTGTTTATCTCTTCAAGTAGTTGAAAAGTGTTAATGAAATTCATGATTCTAGTTACAACATAGGCTAGGCCCTGCATTCATACATCTACTGTGAAAGGGCTGCAGCTGTAAAAAGAGTACTTCCAACCCATCAAACCAGGAATGGAGTTAAACTCCAGTGTTCAGTTTAAAGTCTAATGCTTAAAGAGCAGCTTGTCTGAATTTAAATGTGACAACATTTCTTCCTCTGAATAGATCTAAAAGCATTTCCAGCTGGCCAGGTAAGAGCAAAAGAAGATGTCAGACTAGAAGATCACATAATTTCCTCAGTACATGTTCTTGCATTGCAAGTCAGGTTGCAGTAAGGGTCATCTTAGGTACTAAAGATATTCATTCTCTAGAGATTACATAAATGGAAAGCCATAACTGCCTCATAGGCAAAATGATTAGAAACTGATGGACATTGCATTTAGAGAAACGTGTCCAGCAATAGGGAAGAATCAAAAGGCAGTCAAGCCAGATGTGTAATCAAAGTTTTGACAATATACAGTCCGTTTTCTTTATTTAGTGACTGGTTGTCACTGCCATGGTTTGGATCCTACACTCATTATAATGCTTCTTCAGGAACCAGCAAAATACAGTGACAACTCATTGAAGAGTCAAAAATCTGAGAAACATCTGAGGAGCTTGTTACTGCTGTTGAATGTTATTTATTATGTTGGTTTTATACATTCCCTTTTGCATTTTGCATTTTTTAAATTTGTGTTTTTATAGAGTTGTTTAAAAAATATCCTATGAAAGCTCTGACAATCTTAACAATTAATTACACTTATTCTTTGACTGTATAGTGGTAGTATCTTAAGGGGTAGTCCTGGACCAGTGAGAAAGTAAATTTTAGTCACCCAACAGAGACAGAATTCTAACAATTGGCTTATACAAATAAGCAGTGTGAAAATGATTATATTCATACCTAATGCTTTGTGTAGCTGGATTTCAGATTGCACGGGGAAATCTGTGCACAGTATTTCAATTCAAGAGCAGAGTTCACGATCTCTTTGTAATCAGTGAATATACAGATGTTATAACTAAGAAATATACAGGAAACTTAGGCTAAACAGGTTACCACACTAAAGAAGAATGGATGTAAAGCTTACCCTTGTCCTGGGCTCACTGAAAAGACTCCAAGAGGAGTGATCACCAAAAGGGATCCTTCTGTAGTTGCAGTCAGTTCTTAAATGGGGTGTAGGAGAGGTGGAGCCAAGCTTCACCCCTTCCAGCAGCTCAGGAGAATTGTCTTCACCTGTGCCCCCAGGATGGACTCATTGCTTGCCTCAGGTGGTCAATCAGAGGTTCAGGCCCTGATTCAGCAGTTCCCATACAACCTCACATGACACTTATGTTGGGGACCAGTATGTTTGTTTGCTTAAATTTGAGCAGTCAAGAGGAAAGCAACCAGAAATATAGTAGTGTAAAGTTTTTTTGCAAAATTATGTTCTGCCATTTTGAATTAAGGCTCGGATTTGCTTCCTAACAGATATCTGCAACTGATCTTGACAGCCAGCTGAATGGAGAAACAGAATACACAATTTTGTCTGGTAATGAAAACGCGGCATTTCTAATTGATTCAGCACGAGGGACTTTATCAACTAATACTGTCCTAAATCATGAAAAGGCTTCATCCTATAGGTTTGTATGCAGAGTTTTTTTTAAAAAAAAAAAAAAAAGATTTTTTTTTTTTTTTTTTTTTTTAATTTTAATGTAAGTTTGCTTAGAATATGTATTTTACACTTTTCTGTGGATATCCATTACTTGCAGAGCCTGGGTGCAAAATTAGGCAGCTCTGAAAACAGCCTTAAACTGCTCATTTCTAGCATGGATTTCTGGTTATTTCTTAGGGGAAGGAAAATAGTTTTATACTGTCAGTTGCAACATTCACTGATAGAAGTGAACACGATTCACTAGAGAAATGACAACTGTTCCTGGATTTCAGTTTATTGAGAACTATAGATTCATAGAATCACTAAGGTTGGAAAAGACCTTTAAGATCATCTAGTCCATCTGTGCCCCTACCACCAATATTGCCCCACCAAACCATGTCCTTCAGCGCCACATCTCCATGTTTCTTGATCACCTCCAGGGCCACTAACTCCACCACTTCCCCTGGCAACATGCTCCAATGGCTTGCTGCTCTGTCTGAGAAGAAATTATACCTAATTTATACAGTTCTTCCTTTTTGGATTTTTTTTTTTTTTTTTTTTTAATAATAATTGAGACAAAGAACTTGTCCCTGTTTGTTAGATTTGGTTCATAATCTGCTTTCTGATTTAAAATAGAATATATTTCAAACTTTCTTCTACATCACTTGATAAAATTATTCTGTAAGCTGATTATATCTATAAGCTGTCCTGTGTTCAGTATTAGTTTCTTTTCTGTTTTCCAAGAAATTGTGAGTAAATATGATCAAGTAAATGTGACAGTTTATCACACATGCTATAACTGAATTTAGAAAGAAACCAAGTCATGCCTTGCAGGGAAAGTAAGAAATTATGCTTTGAAGAGAAAGTAAAAGTATCTTGATTCATAAATGTACCCTTTTTATATACTGCAATCTCTATAAAAACTAGATTGCTTTATGTGTGTTAGTAGAAATTCCTTTTTTTTTTCCACATGGCAGTGTGGGGCCTCAAATTTTTAGTCATCCAATCAGAATTATTGTGAATCAGAATAACGTTTAGAAAACCACATGAAAAAGATGAACAGTATATGATTTTTTCTTAAATGTAGGTGTAATTTGATAATAGCATTCTAAAGGAAATGCTTTATTTTAAATTAATATGTAGAACACTTCGCTTGTGGTTTATTTTTCAGTTTTTCACTGAATCAAAAACATCAGTTCTTTTTTTTTAGTCACTATTTAAATAGTGTAATACATTTTATTTGCATGCAGTACTTTAAAAGAATGCCTGGAATAAATCCTCCAAAGGAAGGACATTTATGGTAAAGCACTGAACGTGTATTCCTATCCATTCTGGTTTCTATCTTTAACTGGAAACCTGATTTATTTCAATATTTAAATTGGAATTCTAGCATTTTTGATAGGCAGTTTGTTTGAGGATTAGAATATTCGTATTCCCTCTCCTTATTATCTTTTAATCTGTGTCTCTAGGTGGAGAGTGAATAACAAAAAAGCTTTTAAAACTATTTTGCTGTTTAATTTCAGAATTACGCTGTTGGTTCTTTCCAGTTTGCAAGGACTTATTTATTTTATCTAAATTGAATGTTTTCATCCCTAGAAGTTCTAAGTCTTTTACAAAAGGGTTTGTAATTGGAAGTCTTGACAGAACCTTGATTTTAATGCCTTGGTTGAAATATTTTTATGAGTTTTTTCCTGAAACCCTAGAAAGTGATTATTTGCAGTCAAATATTTCTGTAAGTACTTTACCAATATTCATTCTAGAAAAAATACACTTTCTGGAATTATATAACAATATAATATATATTATATATATAATTTATATATAAAATATATATAAAATATAAATTCCATATAACAATATGGAATTATATGTGATCACTGATTGAATACCAGTCTGCAGTTCAAGCTGTGTGTTCTCTCAGAATAGGAAACAACGAAGAGACCCAGGGCAGAGTTTGCATGGCTCAGGAATGAAGTGCAATCCACAGCTTGAGTTACAGCCTTGTTGCTCCATACTGTTGTGTGAATGTTTAGAATACACTATCTTCTTGACATTTGGAATAGCAATTTTTGACTAAGAGGAAGAAGTGAAGCACTGAGATGATTTCTTGAGAGAAAACGTTGACAGACATGTGAACAGTTGGTCTTACCCAAAACATTCAATAGAGATGCCAAACCCTGATGTATATTTTTTCATGTAGCTTGATGTCTTTTGCTTTCAATTAGTTGCCTTCTTAGAGCACCTGTTGAATCAGATGTAATTTTTAATCCCCTTCATAATCTTGGGGAAGGATGGAGTCTTCTAAATCATCTTTGCTTGTAGAACCATTTGCTTTTCATTGTTTGAAAGCTGGTTCCCACAGAGTAAACTTCCTTCTATCCATGTCTATCAGCTCATCATTTACTGTTTTCTTTGCTGCTTTGTTTGTGGAATCAAAAAGGTTGTTAAAAATTTTCTACTGATCCTTATGCAGGTGTAAAAGAGAAGCCTGAGTCAAACTCCCTTAATCTGACAGTGAGATTCTGGTCCTTCTAAAACCAGAGGGGCTTTGACAGTGATGAATGTTGCCAGTATTTTCTGTATCTCTGCAGACGTCCTGGCTGTATATTACTTTGGAAGTTTTAATACTGCTTGATTTTCATCTTCCTTTTGTCCCTTCATAATCGATGAGGAGAGTCAGATTTCTCCCAGGGACAAGTCAGTACTTAAGCTTTAGTTCCCGCTCTGAATTGCCTTCTTGAGAAATATCTTACCTGAAAAATCTTTTCAAGGCTTTTTTGTTTTTTGTTTTCTTAAACTACCTGAACATTATATGAATTTGGCTGAAATGAATGCATCACTATGTCATTATGATTTCAGTGTGTTTTTGCCATCTGGATTCTCCTGGACGCCATTCTTGTAATATATGAAAATTAAAATTTCAGAGAGTCACCTACACAGAAAGAAAGATGGAATATTGTCAGTGTTTTACAGGCTGGTTCGGCCCGGTTCCGTGACCAGCGGGGCGGAGGGATTGTGCAAAATCCGCGCCTCTGAAAAAGGGAAACAGGGGACCCCAAAATAATTAAAAACAGTGGCAACAATCTGAGGAGAAACAAACTAATTTACTAAATATGGTATTGGAATGCAAGATAGCACACTGTAATATAATATAATTAGAATTGAAGCTAATAGATCAAATATAATTAGGGAGAGTGTCCAAAAGGTGGGTAGGCCTCACCATAACGCTGAGGTGAGATGCGCAGTCCGGCTGAGCAGCAGGGAGGAGAGCCTGATGAAGGAAGATAACATCAGGTGACCTTGACTGGGGTTCTATCTCCTCTCTGACCACAAAGCCTACTGGAGTATGTAGTTCTTCTCTTCTGGGACAGGTACCTGGAGCTGGAACATTAACACTTCAACTCCTAGTGCACTACACGATGTTATGGTGTGGAATACCGATAACCAAAAATCATAAAGCCATGACATAGGAGGAACAGCAAGGAGCAGAGAGCGCTTATCTTTTTACTTACTTTTTTTTTTTCTGGTGAATATTTCTGTGTTTTCTGATAGATGGTGACAGTTACTGCTTCCTTTAATTGTAGATTGGTTGTACAAGTTGCTGATAAAGGAAACCCCAGGCTTTCAGCCACAAGTATTGTGAGGATACAAGTTCTAGACATTAATGACAATGCTCCAATTATCCAACCACCTGGCGAAGTGGAGGTCCCAGAAAGTAAGTGTGATGGTACAGCTAGGTAATGTATAAGACTGTGGTTTGTCAGACCACCATAGTGTTTTCTGTGATTTATATAACCGAGAGATTATAGCCAAATGGATAATGGGTCGTATTAAATTATTAATATTTAATTAATAGTAATATTAGATATTGAAGTATCTAAGTAGACTATGAACTGCTTTTGTTCTCAGAGGCATTATTCTTTATCTTTAGATATTGTGTTTAAGAACAGTTTCACATAAAACTATAGGCAATTCAGAAAGAGAAGAAACTACAGAAGTACATCTGTAGTCCGTTCATTTTGGACTCCAATACCATATTGATCAAATGTCTTCAGTTTCTTCTTTTCTGCAATAACAAAGCTTGGTTGCTAAACATGTTGCTAAAACTAACATTGATAGAAATGAGGCATACTGAAGTTCATTGTGATGAAAGTAATTCTGCAAATTTGAATGAAAGTTTAAAGTGCTCTGTAGCTTGATGTGGTTGATGGCATGAAGAAGAGGACTCAGACCTTGTTCTCATTGCAGCAGTCAGTTGGTAAGGTGTGACATTAGCTCAGCATTTACATATCTCGAGTCTTTTCAAAATTTTAAATAACAGGCATTGTATGTATAATGCACTGAAATAAGCAGCAACATGTTTGTAAATACTTGGTCCAATCCTCCTATTAGCAAAAGGCATGAAAGCTGTCTTTTCATTATAGATTTTTTCTGAATTTAGCTTCCACCTGTAATGACAAAAATGGGAGTCGTGGAAGTATAGATGCTGTAAAGTACTTGCTAATTATTTGGGCTTTTGTATTCGGTTTAAGAACATTTGTCCCAGAGCATGGCACAGTGTGTTTAAAGCTTAATGTACCAAGGATGCAAATAAAAAATGTTTTAGTCTCTGTTGACTTCAGGCTTGATTCAATTATTACTGATAGTGGGGTTCTGTTTGCAGTTCCTGATCTGTCAGTTTGACACGGAACAAAAGCTGTCTGCATCCATCTCTAAATCTCACAGAAGTAAACATCAGTCTCTTAAGATTCTGTGCCTCCTGGCTCTGCCTGGATGTCTTTCTGGTGGCCCCCTCCTCCTGTGCAAAAGCTTCAGGACAACAGCTGTTGATTCTACAAAGATCAGGGGACTGTTCCTCAGTTAAATATTCCTGTGAAAGTCTGTGACACTGTGCAATTAATTCATGTCAGCTAAATATATATCACATTTCCACATTTTGCTGCATGGGAAAAACATGAAAGCTCCTGTTCCGAGTGAAGAAACAGTCTAAGGGTATTTTGGCTCAGAGGAAATTTAAAGGAAACCTAGTTTAAAATTGGGAAGGATCAGATGTGATTGAAGAAATCTACTACTACTTTTGTATTGTTTCTGAATCTTGCTTGTATTCTAAAATATGAAGCCAAAAGGCACACACACAAAAAAGACCAGAAACACCCTAATGCAGAAATGTTACCTCTATCTAAGATTTAGTATTAGGAAAGGCAAGATCTTAAGAAATTGAAACATTATCCTTAGCTGTGACTTACTCTGAAAATTATTGTTTCAGATGTCCTGCCTGGTTTTACAGTGATTCGTGTATCAGCAACTGATGTGGACTCTAGCCCAGCACTTCAGTTTGACTTAATTGATGATAAAAGTTCTGGAATGAAATTTGCAATCAATCAACACACTGGTGTAATCTCAGTGGTAGAACCATTGGATTTTGAAGAAACTGCTGTGTATAAGCTGGGAATCGTGGTTTCAGACTCTGTCCATCAAACAGAAGCAGAACTCACAATCTGTGTTTTGGACATCAATGATAACCCACCAGTGTTTACTCAGGATTTCTATCAGGTGAGGAAGCAGCAAACAGGCAACTGTGTGATGTCTCTGTGTGAGAGGACAAGGAGTGGGAGTGCACGTTCATCTTTGTGTTAAAACTGCATTTGATTACCACTGAGAAGGAATGTCTCTACAAAGCAGACTGTACAAATTGCTCTTCTCAGAAATCCTTCCCCTTTCCTAGGAATTCTGTGAAAGAGACCAAAGGTTTGGTTCACTTTTCGTGTTTGTGTTTCATGGCTTCAGAAGAACGGTGGTGAGAATGCCAGCTGTACTCCTTGTGCTGTGCATTCATTACAGTATCCAGAGTTACTGGATATAATCCAAAACTGGTTTGGTGAGCAGTGTCCATTGTTCAGGACTGGTTGTTTCTTCTGACAGAATAGTAAAAAAAAAAAGTTGGTGCGTTTATTCTGACTCAATTACTATGGCACGTATTTCTTCTTTTTCAGTTACACAGCTCTACAGAGGTGTAGCAACTGTCCCTGTGATAGGTTAGGCATGTACAGTTTGTAGCATGTAGCCTTGTCTTACAGCCATGGCACACTTGTAGGCAGTAAGGGACACCAGTTTTGACTTCCCTAGCAACTCCTGCTAGAAAGAGGACTGTAAGGCAAACAAAGGCAATGACAGAGCCTTTATTTGAGACACAGGCACCACAGAACAAGATATCAAGGAAAGAGGAATTAACTCACCCCTCCCAGCAACAGCCTGGAAAAAAGGGGAGCTGAGAAATGCAGCCTTCTGCGATTCAAACTGGAATGAGAAGGATGGGGGGAAGCCCACACGGACTCAGACTGCACATGTGCTCCTGGAAGCATCACTGAGACTGGGAGAGAGGAAGGGTGGATTTAGGCTCCCCCTGCTCCTCACGTGCTCACATACTGGTTCAGGCTGTGACCTAGGAACTCCACTGCAAGGACACAGCTCAGCTTTTGGACTTCTGGACAGAGATTTGAATGCTAGACTGTTTTAGAAATCAAGGTGTCCAACAACGTTTTGAATCAAAGCTGTTTTAGCAACTATGGGCCACTAAGATGATTGAAGGAATTGGAACATATGTCATACGAGGCTCCTGAAGGTAGAGATCAGACTGTTGAAAGAGTTTTAGCCTGACATCTTTATGTGATACAGAGGCTGTGGGGCTTGGGCTAAGACTAGGTGCATGTAGTGGCTTAGGTTAGGGTTATGGACAAGGGAGAGACAGCCTGGAACTGAGGAAAAGTTATCTCCTTAAGGCTTGTTCATGCGTGGCTAAGCTTTGGGGCTTGCCCAGGAGAGCCTAGCGCATTGATTGTTCAGTCTGGCAAGCAAAAGGCTCAGAGAGGATCTCGCCACTGTATGTAAATACCTGGTGGGTGTAAAGAAGAGCTAGACACTGTTCTCCGAGGTGCCCAGTGACAGGGAGAGAGGCAGTGGGCACAAACTGAAGTACAGGAGATTCTACTGAAACTTCAGGAAGAACTTTGTCCTGACACTGGGGTTGTGGAGCCTCCATCACTGGAGGTAGCTGCAGTCCAGACAACATGCTTTAAGTTACCCTGTTCTGAGCAGGGCCTGGACAGCACAGCCTTGAAAGGTGCCTACCAGCCTCAGCCATTCTGCGAGCATGTGAACTCAGCTATTGGCTTGACTTGATGCTTTTTGTGTCTGTTGGGTCTGCTTGGAGCCAGAAATGTGAGGCATCACAGAAGACTTGCATTGAGTAATGCTTCATTTACAAATCTCAGGCAGCTCTAAGGAATAAGCTTAACTAGTTGATGTTCTGGAGAATTTCAACCTATGAGCCTGTGCACAGAAAGCAGCTTAGCCACTCACATAACTGGAATAGACTGTAGGCACCTGTGAAACTTTCAGGTTTTGTGTAAGTCATCCACTTAAACCTGTGCCTCCCAGAAAAAAATGCACTTGTAATGCTCAAGTGTTTTTTACAATCTGGCCTTAAGTTTTCCTTAACTCTCGTTGAAGAATAATTTAGGAAAGTCCTTGCTTATGCAGGTGCTAGGAAAGGTTGTGTGGATCAAAGTGAACGTTACAAGCAGTGTTATGGCCTGTTGTAAATTAGTGTAACTCTATTGATTGTGCTAACAGAAACAGCTGAACTCTCTCTACAGTCCTGGTGATTTGATATGTTGCTTGAACAGTAAGATGCACTGCTTCTTTTCAGTCAATGATACATATAATTCCCTATTCATAACCCTGTAATTTTTATCCTTTTGTTGTCCTTCAAAGCGTTTTCATATTTATACTATATATGTCTGTTATATGCACATATAATCTGCATGTTGAAATGATTTAGACTAACACTTGAAGCAGCTGCCTTTGTATCTACTATTAATTTGAAACTGAATTTAGAAAGTAAAAGGAAACTAATTACAAAAATAAATACTGTGGGTGACCTTTTAAGAAGGGTATGGCCTGTCTTGTCCCACGTTATGTGTAGAAAAAGGAGAAATCTGAAAAATTATTTGGAGTAATCTGGTAATTTTCAGACTCTGGTGCTGAGATTTTCAAGTTTTGGGGGTTGAGGATTTGGTTTTGTTTTGTTTTTTGTTTGGATTTTTTTTTTTTAGTTTCTGCAGAATGGGACTGCAAACCGTATTGTATGTACAGAAATCAACGTTTTCCTCCAAGGAAAGAGAAAAGCCAGTCCTAGTTGCAGTACAATGCAAAGTATTCCTCTTGTTAGTGTATTACTGAAGAGAGATTCAGGGATTTGTTGACCTCATCAAATGGAGCCTGAACTAAATTAATTTTACTTCTGTTTAAATGTTTCTATAAAGCCCAATTGTGTTGTATGCATCATTTTCTTTATTCTTTTGTCCATTAAGGAAACAGGTAGGTGAAACCTTTTCAAAGGATAAGGACTATATTTTTTTTTCCGCATCGGATTAAATGAAGGAAAAACAATTGTTTATGTTCAAAATCTTTCATGAAGTCTTATCAAAACTTCAATTTTTCTTTATATGACAGGTGAGCTTGCCGGAGTTCATTTCAGTGGGTACCACTGTTATGACTCTCTCTGCTGTGGACAGGGATTCAGAGCATAATGGAATGGTTTCCTACAAAATCCTCTCTTCCTCGAAAGGGTTTTCCATTGATCACAAGAATGGTGAGTTTTTTAGCATGGTTTATTATTTCCACTTTTTTTACTGTAAACTGAAGAGTCATATTCCACTTTCTCACTTGTTGCCAATGATCACTTCTGGAAATAATTGGTGTTATTTCACCAATTCCACTATATATTTTGGCTAGATCTGATATTGTTGATGAAGAACTGACAGCATCAAAGATCAGTTCTCAATTTGTCTGTGAACCATGCTCAAAACAGCTACTCACAACATTCATTAGCATAGATACTGATGTAGCTTAACAGAGAAACTGTTGTATACTTTTCAGTGTTTCAGGGCCTTTCAGCTCATGTATTAGGCTGCATTAAGTTTAGGTTCATACCTGCTGCTTTTCAAAATAGTTGAGCCTATCATAATGGAGGTTGTCTACAGCTTGGGCTGCATGCTTTTTGCAGTACTTGTTATTCAGTTATTCAAAGTGGAATTTAAAAGTTTTCTTTGAGAAAACTTTTTTGTTTGAGAACTCGCTGTTTGAAGTACACCAACTTTGTTAGTAGTTAACAGATTTACTGATTTAATGTTGTAATACCTTGAGAGGTAGAAAGATGGTTTGTGTGTGTCTCAATATACATATGTGCATATAATTTTTTGCTTATGTCAGCTTCAGTTGTTGTAGATACTGGCAAAACGATGTGTAACTGTTCAGTATGCAAGTGCATATCACTTATTTTTTGTTTCTAGGCATTCATGATGTAAATTTTTGAATGCATGTTTATTGAGTGATGCTAACTATAAACACTGAATATACAAATGTCTTGCCCAAATAAAATTGTCTATTTTTTACTCAATATTTAACTGACCTTTCTTTTATTCTTACCTAGAGGTTGTTTTTAACAGAGAAAAGAAAACTGTGATTGTCACATAAGGTTGTCTCTGGTGCTTAAATAAAAAATGAAGTGGATGGCTTATGAAGTGTTCAGATAAGCAAATTCAGTAAAACTTGCTGACACATTGCCAATCCTATCTAAATTACAAATACAAAAATACAAGCCCACAATGCTGTTACTAGATTGCAAGCAAAGGAGAACTAATGATGTTCAGTAATGAACAGCAGAGCCACCCCTAAGGATGAACATGTTATATTTTATTTTGCCTTCTATTTTCTGCCATTTGCATGTTCAACCTACTATGAGGAAGAGAGAAATTTTTGTTTGTCTGAGTGCAGTATGTGTATTTGATACTGCATCCTTGTGGGCAGACCTTGGCTTACAGCATTAGCTGTGATTTCATAGAGTTACATTGGGGTGTGTAACATTTGAGCCATTTCCCAACATGACTGATAAGATTCAGCAATCACGTTTATGTGCGTTAAAGAGTGCAAACTTTTACAGATTGTGTTTTATTTTCAGGTTCTTTGTTCACTACTGAGCCAGTGGCACATGGGAAAAACAATGCCTTTATTCGGGTACTGGTAGCTGCTGTGGACAGTGGCAGTCCTGCTCTGAGCACAGTCACCTCTGTAGAGGTACACATAGAAGATGTAAATAACCATGCCCCTCAGTTCACAAGGGCACTGTACAGTCTCAGTGTGAGTGAGAGTGCTTCAGTAGGAGAAAGCATCCTTGCATTTTCAGCAACAGACTATGACTGGACATGTGAAAATACATACATTGAGTACTCCATTATTGATGGCAATGCTGAGAGCTTATTCACTGTGGAAACAAGTGTCACGGAGTCAGAAACATCCTACAAGCTTGTTGGCAATCTTGTTTTGAGCAATGTTCTTGACAAGGAAACTACTGCTTCCCATCGTTTGGTCCTCCTTGCCTCTGATCATGGAAAGCCCTCCTTGAACTCAACTGCTACTGTGCTAATAACTGTATTGGATGTCAATGATAATCCTCCAGAATTTAGCAGCTCGGAGTACCACGTTCACATCAAAGAAAGCCTCCCTGTTGGTAGCCATGTCACAGAAGTTTTAGCAAATGACCCTGATGAAGGCAGTAATGCGGAGATCACTTACTCTATAATTTCTGGAAATGACCAGCGGTATTTTCGGATGGATGAGAAAACTGGATCTGTGGATTTGATGAAAACTCTGGATTATGAGGATACCACGAAATTTACTTTGCTCATTCAAGGCACAGATGGAGGAGCTAATGTAAAAAATGTGGCTTTTTCTGTTGTCCACGTTAGCATCCTAGACGACAATGATTATGCCCCACTGTTTTTGTTTCCCAGCATGAACTGTTTTGTCAGTGAAAACCTGCCAAGCTTTTCTTTTGTATGCACTGTCACTGCCTTGGATTTTGATGAAGGCTCCTATGGACATCTCACTTACTCCATCCAGTCTTCATGTTTGGCTCAGCATGAAGCTCCTGGAGATGATCAGATGTTTTTCATTGACCCTTTGACAGGAGATATTTATACAAAGCAAACGTTTGACTATGAAAGTCAGAATAGGTACTGTCTTGTAATCCAAGCAAAAGACAAAGGTGTCTTACTGGCCACAATTACAGTTCAGGTAGATATTGAGGGGAGAGATGAGTTTGACCCAGTTTTTTCACAAGATCAGTATTTCTTTAATCTCCCTAGGAAAAATGAAGCAGGCCAATTGCTTGGCAAGGTGAGAGCATCGGATAATGATGGTGGACCAGATGGAGTTGTTCATTACTCCCTGCTAAAAACTTCTGCGTTCTTCTCTGTAAATCAAAGCAGCGGTGCTATTTATTTGACTCAAACTGTTCACCGAAATAGAAGTGACAGCAAAAGGAATGATGACACCTTGGAATTGTTGGTAAGGGCTCAGAGCCCAAAAATGGAGTCAAAGTTTGCAGTATGTACTGTTCTGGTGAATGTTTCCAATTCTCCTGAAAGTTATCCCAGTGTGTCAGCTTACAGTCTGACCATTAGCTTTTATGTCTCTCTCATGATGTTCCTGCTGCTTTCCTTGCTTGTCAGTGTTATTGCACTTATTCTGAGACATAAGCAGAAAGATGTGATGAACTCTTATGTGAAAAAAGAAACATTATCCTCCTCAGCTACTGATGTGAATTTGGCCAGAGAACACATGGTCCTTAAGGACTGTCAGAATATCCAAAGTACTGAGAGCGGTGGTATGCTTCCCATGGGTGCCATAGCAGATTGGCTGAGCTTGTCAGGAATCAGAGAGAGGAAAGATGATGATGTGCCCTGTGAGCATTCAGGCTTCAATGGCCACAGTTTTGCCAGAGGAGAAACTGCAGAGGATGAAGAAATAAAAAGGATCAGTGACCATCCTTGCAGGAAGAGTGCTGGCTCCATACTGAGTGAGCGAGACTCCCAGGTGCCAGATTCAGGGATCCCAAGGGAGTCTGACCAGCTCTCTTGCCTATCTGGGGAAACCGACATTGTGGCTACCATGCAATGCATGGAGAGCATACAGGCTGTTCAAGGCAAAGGTGGAGAAGCCTGTGATGCAGCCTATCCAAGTAACAAAGTGTTGTCTCAGACACTTAAAAAAACTGAAGTAAAAAAAGAACATATTGACAGACCTCACAAGAGACTGTGCCTTGGTGTCAGATAGGCAGGACTCTGGGTGTGATTTGCTTGCAACTCTTAGCACTTCTGATGAGGACCTCAGGGGCAGTTGCAGCTGGGATTATGTGCTCAGCTGGGAGCCCAGATTTCAGCCTTTCTCCTCAGTCTTTGGTGACATTGCAAAACTGAAAGATGAAAGTGGATGTGTTTTGTAGCTTTCCTAAGGAGAAGCCTTTTGTTTTACCTCCTTCCTTGGTATGTTACCAAGGGAGTAAATCAGTAGCTTAACCTGGTGTAAGGCCAGTGCCACCACGGATGCCAAATGTAGTATCAGGGCAAGTATTTAAGAAATGCCCTTGTTCTCCCCTTATCGAGAGTCTTGGATACCCTCCACCAATGAGGGCCCTCTGTTTTTTTCCTCTATCTTTGTTTACCATGCAGACACCTACTGCTTCTGTGTTAATCTCTGATGGGAGAAGGCTAGGAAAATGTCTTATTTGTCCAAGCATGAACTTGCAACGGAGGAGGAAATTAAAGTCTAGGTTATTAACTGATGGTAGCTTGTGGAAAAATATATGGCTTGAAATGTATTTTTTTTTAATTTTTTTTTTTTTTGAACAGGCAAAGCATGCCTGTCAAAACATCACCACTATCTTTTCTGTTTTCATGAGCTGAAAAGGTTAATATATAACATAGCCACAAAGTTTGTAACAATCCATCATGTTCTTCACAGAATGTGCTGCCAGTCCATGAGGTTTCTCCTTTTGCAGCTTCCAACAAGTGTGGTTTCACATGTAAATCACACGGCTTGTTGCCTGAAAACCAACTTGATGATCAATTCTAATGTTTTTAACAAAATATGTTAATAAGAAATTAATGTTGATAGCTGTTTTCTGTGGAATTTTTTTCTGTGGTTGCATTATGAGAGAGTAGAATCACAGTATTATAAAATATCCCAAGTTGGAAGGGACCCACAAGGATCAAGTCCAACCCCTGGCTCCACACAGACCACCCAAAATCAGGCCATATGACATAGAGTGGTGTCCAAATGCTTCTTGAATTCCAACAAGCTTGGGGCTGTGCCCACTGCCCTGGGGAGCCTGTTAGATGCCCACTGCCCTCTGCTGAAGATCCTTTTTGTAACCCCCACCTGACCTTCCCAGATGCAGCTCCATAATTTACCAGCACTGAAGTGAGACTGACAGGTCCATAATTTACCAGGGTTTTGTTTTTTTTTTCTTCCCATCTTGAAGATTGGAACAATGTTAGCCAGCTTGCAGTCAGCTGGGACCTTTCCCCATTCCGAAGACCATTGAAAATAATTGAGATGATATTGGCTAACTCTCCATAGTACCTTGGGATGAATCCCAGTAGGCCCAAGGACTTGTATGTATCCAGGTGGAGCAGCAAATCACACACAAGTTTGGAGTTGGCAGGGATTTTATTGTTACTGCAGTCACTGTTCTCTAACTCAGGGCACCCAGGGTGTCAGAACATGTCACTGATGTTCAAGAGGAAAAAAAAGCATTACATGTCTCTGCTCTACGTTTCCATTCTTAATATGACCATTCTCATCTGGTCATATTAAAATGACTGTGTGTTCTCTATGTCTTCCTTTTGTTGTTAACATACTAAAAAAAGCCCATCAACAAACAAACATACTTTCAGTTGTCCCCTTCAGTATTGGCCATCTCCCTGCAAAGATAAGTGACATCACTGTAGTCCCCCTCATGTTCGCTGACCTTGCTTCCAGCAGCCATACACCTTCCACCTAAGCTCTAGAATAAGATCACTGTTCAGTCAAACTGGCCTTCTGCCCCACCTGCTTGAGTTCTGGCACTGTGGAATTGCCTGTTTGTGTACTAAGACTCCAGAAGAGCTGTTACTTTAAAAGTAACCAGGCATTAAAGGGTACTGGAGTGATGTGCAAGTTTGGCAGTTTGGGGCAGCATGTCATGATAATCTGCATAATAGTGGCTCACTCATAGAAACCCTTGGGAAAAAAAAAAAAAAAGAATAATGGTAAGATAAAAGCAACCTTATTCTTTATTATTAGAGTTAAAATAACTATCTGTTGTCTTTCTGTCCCATTACAGAAGATGGCCTGTTTTCTATGCAGCTGTAGGATAGGACAGTGTCACAGTTGAACAGGTCTTTTCTGCCTTTATGCTGATCTTTGGTGCTGTTATGGGCACATCTTTGCAAGACCAAATATTTTGGCCTTGTTTGCTGTGTGTGTCATATTTTGTGTATGTATATCCAGTCACGTACACATACATATACTTCTGTGTATGCTTGTGTATTGTATGAGACTAATAAAATAGAAAATTCATCCAGAATAACTTTGGCTTCTCTTCAGTGTATATTTAAAAGTCTTTGCTTCTTTTCCATTGTGCATATTAAAAGAGGGCTCTAGGGAAGTTGGATATATGCAGAAATGTATGTTGTTCAAGTAACAGATGGAGGAAATGCATACAGTGTTGTTAGACTGTATGATTACATGGGACATGTGTCAGTTATTTCCTCAATCACGTAAGTCATGATCCTTACTGTTTTGCAATCTGTGGTTGTAGCAGAAGTGTGAAGTCACAACCTGAAGCAGTGGTTGAGCACCTGGTGGGAAGGCAGGGCAAACCCAGGGGAGCACATGTGCATGCAGTGCACCTGACCGATGGATGGGATGGAGCCAGGATCCACCCCTTCCCAGTCCTCGTTTAAGGGTTGGCAGTGGAGGTCTTGCTGGAGATCTTTGTCTACCTGAGGTCTTCCAAAGGTAAGCACTTCTTTTTCTTTGTTTCTGCAGCTGCTACATTTGGGCTTGTTTTCATTTGCTGTGGTAGGAGACTTTGCCACCCTGCTATTATTGCGGTACTTTTCCTTCCTATTATAGCATTACAGTGGTTTCATAGCCTGTCTTTGAATGTGATTCTGTTTCCATAGGTGTACCTACTTTGTACAAATGTGTAATACAATCCTTGCTGCTGTGCAAGAGTGCTTCTTTCAGAGGTGTAGTGTTTGTTATACTGCCACAGTTGAAGAAGTTGGCATAGCTCAGTGATTGATCGGGATCAACAGATCTCACTAAGAATGAGGAAGATAAATTTTATAGTTGGACAAAATCCTGTGCCAGGAAGGAAAAGCAGAGGAGTCATGCCTAGTTTATATCTGAACATGGGGCATTGGTCAAGGCCATTGTTTCAGTATGAATTGAGCCATTGGATTGGGAACCATAGAGCTGTGTAGTAAAACGTCTTAGAATCTCTGTCTGAAGAAGGCAATATGCTTTTGCATTTTTATGTGGTTGTAGGATGCATGTGTGGTTATTGAAGTTCCAGGTTTTCTTGATGAGCTTTGAGAGTGGCTTGTTCTTACTACTTTTTGATGCAGTTATTTTCCCAAATGAATGAGTTATAGAAATTTTTTTAGTGTCATTTCAGTGGAAAATTTGTGTACGTGAAAAGCAACTGTAATGTGATGTAATAGCATGAATGTGTAATAGTTTGATAGTTCAAATAATGTAACAGTTTTCTAGAACTTAACCTTCTATAAACATTACCCACAGAACTTATTTTCTGCCTGTTAAAATTATGCTATCTGCAACCCTTTTGGTGTTGACTTAATATCTTGAATTGTAATTTCTAATAAGAAGTGTCTGTTGCAATGTTGCTATGTGTGGCTGTAGCTTTGGGAGGCACTCGTGGCACAGAGAACTAGCTTTTCTGTACAGTCATCATCTAACTGCTTTTAGTTTCATGCAGTCGTGGTCAAGTGGCAGCTGTTGGCCTGAGCAGGAGCAAAAAGCACGTGCTATCCTGGAAGAGATTGTTTTTGCAGTGGGCTTTTGGTAGAGGAACAAGTTCTTCACCAAGCAAAATGGTGTATTCCTCACTTTTATGAATTATAAAATAGTATCTCAGGTTTTGTTTCATGTATAGATTCTAGATTAATGAGTAGCTTTTTATTCACTAATGCTGCTGTTGCAAATGAAATATTAGCCTTAGAGATCTTCAGAGCATGCAGTCATAATTTGTACAAGATTTAGACCTCACCATGCTGATCTCTGCTTGCTACAATTCTGCTTGAAAAGCGAGCAAATCATGTTTCTGTCTGTCCTTTTTGCTTCTTCAGGTATATTTTGATACCTCTCTGAAAGACTAAGAATGCTTGCATCCAGTTTTTCGTGCATACAAATTAACCAATGTATGTTTTGTGTTCCTCTTAAGTGTTATGAGAACCTTTTCCTTGTCTGTATGATATTAGCTCATTCTGTATTGAACAGGAAACAACATGAAATGTTTTGTATATAGTCAAGCTTTAAAAAGCGACTGTTGAGATGAGTGTTTGCAATAAATTGCATAGTTCTTTTAACCTTACTGGTTTTTTTTCCCCCAAGTAAGCAGTATATAACATCCATAATTTACCATGAGTTTAATATTAGCTTGAATTGAAAAGGCTGTTACTGTGCAATTCCACACACCAGTTTTAGCACTTTGGAGAAGGTACAAAACTTGTTAGTAGAAAATCGCATTAAGCTCAAAATGCATAACTATAAAAGACAGTTGTCTCTTCTGGAATTTTGGCTGCCTGCCTTATGGATTTCTTGTTGGCAGCCTTGAAAACACTAGTGTAAATCACTACCAAATGGATATCTAAATTCCATCTACCAGTAGTAATCATTAAATTGATATTCAAGCAGATTCCTGTGCAAAGAGGAGAAACTTCTTTGGGTATCCATCATGTAGGGATTTTATATATATATATTATACATAATATATTTACATATATATACACTCCTTTTCTAAAAGGATATGAAAAACCTCTGGTTAACTACATGTCCACATTTAGTTTGTAACTTTTTCAGCTGAAGACGGAAGTTGTTTCTATTACAGTTCTAGACAGAAAAAAAAATTCAAGTGAAAATGAATCTATCATTTATATTTGGTTCCTATCAATTCTCTGCGATGTCTGACATTTTTCTTTAACGACCATGTAGTTAAGCATACTTCAGGATGCAGTACGTGGGAACGTAGTAATTAGACTTCCTCCTCAGTCAGAGCTGCCAATGTATGTGGACTGCATCACTCCTTGAAAACCAGACCTGCGATGGAAGAACGTGGAGGGATCATTGTAAAAGAGGGAACTGGCTCGGAATTGGTAAGCATGGAGAGTGATTTTTCCCTAAAATCCAGTAAAAACATTAATTGGAATAGGAGGCACTTGTGACTGTAATGGAATATTCTGTAGCGGGAGGTTTATGTTTAGAATTTAGCATACTCTGAGGATGAAGTGGCTTTGCAACTTTTTGTCTCTATTATCTGGCGCAACAACCAACCCACTGTGGCAATATGTGTCTCAGTTAACTGTTGATGATTTGGCTGGAATAACTAAGGTGTTGCAAAATCAAATTGAGCCCTTCTGGGTCTTATGTAGCTGTTAGTTCTGCTAGCTGTTCATCATCATGTATACAATATGTGTTCAGTCTGAGTGTGGTTTTGTATGTTCAGATCATATTAAATAGATCTGCAGTCTGGCGTACAAATCCTCTTGCTGGCTTTGAAAACTCTACCATAAACACAAAAAATATTTTTAAAACATTGGAAAAAACATGGATATCTAGACAAAAGAAGGGGCCTGACAGAAAAGAAAATTGATAGAACCTTCTGATTTAGACTTGCACTTTACTTTGCAGCTAGGGCTATTATTCATACAAAAAAAAGCAGATGCTTTTCTTCTAAAGTGTACGAAATGTAATAGAGGGCCATCTATAAAGAATGCAGGAAGGCATCAGGCTGCTCTAGAATTGTGAAATGGTTCTATTTCTTGAACTATATGTGCTACTTTAGCAAGGTAGAAAAAGATACCAAATCCTTCAGCTAACGATAGTCACATGAATCAAAGTTTCTTTATTGTTTGTTTGTTTGACTGTCCCAAACAAGTCTTATGCCTGATGAAGCATTAGATGCCAAACAACATGCATGAAAATGCAAGTCATGTGGTAGAAGACTGAGATGATACACTGCAGTATTCAAAACTGTAGTTGAAAGTCTCATTACAGTTAGAAAACTCAAATCTCTAATATGTTAAAAACAAAGGCTCTTGCAACACCATAAAACTACATTTTAAAATATCAGCTCTGTCTATGTAACCTTATCCACTTGAAAATAATCTTATATTAAACACTTCTGAAGCACAGAGTATTTAACTGAACCTGAGTTGCCTGCCCTAAAACTCCATGTAAATTGCTTACGGAAAGCTGTCATAAATCTTAGAAAATGGAAGCTGAGCTGTGTGCTGTAAGAGCTGGCCAGCCAGAAATAGATGTTACATAAAGCAGCACTTGAGAATGGTTATAGGTGATGCCTACTCACCAGCACAATTTGGAGGAATATCTAGCCATTACCTATAGGTGCCCACTGCTTTGGTTGAAAACTTTCAGATGGGAAATTCAATAGAGTTTATAAAATGGCTTTACTGGTGCCATATCTGAAAGAAACAAGTAGTGAATCAAGCCTGCTTGCACTGACCTCCAAATTCCTGCATTGAGCCTTGTTTAGCTGGGCAGAGGCAAGTTTCCAGCAGCTCTGTTCAAACAAACTGTAGGATTCACTTAATTTCAAAAGATTTTAAAATGCTGGGTTCTGATCCAACACCATAAGACTTCCACTGATTTCAACGGGCCTAAATAAAAAATACACCTGGAAGAAATGGACAACGTGTGTGTCTTCCTGATACTCTAATAAGAGTCCCTGGTAGTGGAGAGTGGGCTCCCTGGTGTACAGGGCTGTAAAGCAGCAGGAAGGAGTATTGGAAAAAAGGGAAATCAAGATCCTGGAAAAGAGAGTAGAACCAGCATGTGACAGAGGAGATTTGGAGAGGAGGTACCTGTGCTTTGTGGTGATTGATGCAAGCCTTGCTTTATATACTTACATTGGAGTGCCTTTTACACGAGCCTGAGAAGGTCTATAAAGAAGAGGTCGCTTTACTGTTTCAACATTCTACTGCTATGTAAAATAT